ATAACCTGGTTGCCGAGTTCACGAAATGAAGTGGCTTGTTTTACAACGTCGTTGCCAGGCGACGAAAACCCAACCCCGATGGCAAACACCGGGGGGGAATTGGCTTGTTTTACAACGTCGTTGCCAAGCGACGAAAACCCAACCCCGATGGTAAACACCGGGGGGGTCGATGGAGAGGGGGATGTTCGTTGCCTGAAGTGGATCTATGAAACATGGAGCACAGGACAAACGACTAACCAACCACGCAAGATTTGCGGAGCTGTATGTGCGGCACGCACAATGCATTGTTTTCCGATTGGAGAGAGGGAGTACGAAGCAGTAAGGGATTGTTGGCCAAACTTTCGGCAGATAGGTCTACGCGGGAGCGTAAGCGGGGTAGCAACCCATGGTGGAGCGTATATGAGAAGCTGGACGTTAGTGCACGCTTCATCCCGACGTGTGAGTAGGATCTTAGGCTTCGCAGTCTTCGCTATCTTAGGCTATGCAGTCCTCCCTTAACGTATTGTGGGGAAAATGACCTCCCAGGAGGAAAATAGCTTGTGCCGCCGGAGTTCGGAGATGATAAATTGATAACTTCGGTGGTCGGGGCACGACTGCGTGATTTCTAAGGAGAACGCCCGGGCCAAGACTGAGGTACTTGTGCCAGGAGGTGGAAACTTGGATTTAGACTACGAGCCCATGTTGGAGGCGCTATTTAGCGTCGGTGAGCCGGCCTAGAACTGAAAGGAACCGCAACCCCCACCGGACAACGGATTGGGAAGGCCGAGTGTTTCGTTTATCTTTCCGAAAACATACAAAACAAGCGGCCACGGCTCAGTTTACGTAGAGATCATGAAGATGGTGAAGAAACCGAACGGTTGGAAGCAGAAGCTGTGGAAGGGAGAAAAATATTGGAGCTGCTACTGTTTGGACCTCAAGGGACACGACGAGGATAGAGTTTAAGAACTGCTGTGCAGGGAGGGACTACGTTGCCTAGCAAGGGGGGAGTAGATAAAGAGCATGAACATTTCCAGGTGAAATTTACTAGTGGAGACAGCAATGAGTGCATAGGTATTGACATCGAGAAACTGTCAAACTACGTCAGGAAGTTTGGGTGGAGGATTTGCATCGCGAAATAAAGGGGAGATTGTGGACAGTGCTGACGAAAAGTGCTGTCATGCTAGACGGAGAACTGTCCGAGTTCTTCAACAATGAACAGGGGCCCCCACAAGGTTGTACTTTGTCCTCAATGTTGTTCCAGGTGTTCATCAACGATATTTTGAAAGTTTTACAGGCAGTTGAGAAGGGGGTAAAGGTACGGGAAATTTCGGTGTCGGGAATGCTGTTTGCGGATGATATTCTTGGGATGTCTGATACCCCTGAGGGACTTGATCTGCTACTGCAGATTGACGCAGCGCAGGAGTTTTTGCTGATAGGTGGAGCTTGTCTGCCAACGTTAAGAAGAGTGCCGTCAAGTGTGCCGTCATGGTATGCAGCGAGGGCAGAGAGAAACCAGCAGAGTACAGATGGAAGTGGGGGGTCGAGGAGCTTGCAGTATTGGATCAGTACACCTATATCGAAGTAGAGATCTCGAAAGACTGTTCGTGGAATGCACACATGTCCAAGGTAGCGGAGAAGGGCAAAGCACGAGCAGGGAAACTGCACCCAATATTCGCAAACCGGCACCTCGATACACGCATCAAAATGACGGTTTTGAAGTGCGTAATCTTACCGCCGCTAGAGTACGCCGGAGGAGTATGGGAAGGAAATGAAGGTAGTGAAAAAACTCGAGGCGGCGCAGATGAAAGCAGCGAAAATCATCCTTGGATGCTCCAAGCGCACAAGTAATGCAGCCGTCAGGGCAGAATTGGGGATCCAATCCCTACGGTCGGGAAGAGACGCGAGGAAGCTGACGTGCAGTGCCGCATGTGCGATATGGGAGGGGAGAGGTTGCCGAGAGTAGCTTGGGAGGCGGAGTGGGCAAACAAAAAGAGGGGTAGACAACCCACGGAGTGGGTCAAGGTTGTAGTTGACGTATGGAAGGGGCTCGACATTGACGAAGGTGAAACGCTGGAAACAGAAGGTCTAGGTGTTCAAGGAGAAGATATCTGTTGCTTGTGCCGAGAGAGAAGAATAGAATCTAAGGAAAGAAACCAAGGATAAGAGAGAGTCTAGATGTGCACGCAATGTTGAAAGAAGGAAAGGGATCAAGAAGACCTACATGGAATGTATACAGGGACGCGTGATCAATGGCCTAACCGCTGAGGCATGACAAACATAAGAGTAGCCCCCCCCCCCCCCCCCCCCCCCCCCCCCCCCCCAAAANCCCCCACATTTGTACACTTCAGTGAAGGTTATGTTCTTTTAGGCACCTCGGAACTGGGCGACTGTTCGTAGGTCAGGTTACTGACATGTTGAAAGTTCAAAATTCGACTCCTGGCTTCCTTAACTGCCAGTTCTTCGTCGGTAGAAGGTGCAGTACGCGCACGCGACGAGAATACGCGAACGCAGAAGGGCATCCATGTCAACCTCACTCCAATTTTTGTAAGCCCAGGAAGTGGCCCCTGAACTTCGGAACGGCTGACTGGTGTACAATTTTGTTTGCTTTCCGCACACGGGACACTTGGGACAATAACCCAATCACCATAACGACGTACGTCATCGTGCGTCTTTTCTCCTTAGGTCCTTCAAATGCACCTTATCCATACATCAATTGCTCATTTGTCCGAGAATACCCACCGCCCCCCCCCCCCNCCCCCCGTCGCTCTTGGTTGTCAGTATTCGGTGTACCCCGCCGACTGGAAGCCGGACACGACCTATAGGCCAGCCCCGAAGCCTGCCAAGGAGTACCCGTTCACCCTCGATCCTTTCCAGAAGCAGGCCATTGAGTACATCGAGCGCAATGAATCGGTACTAGTGTCGGCTCACACGTCAGCCGGCAAGGTGTGTGATTTTCTGCGCGACTGGGAGTGATGAGTCGATGGATATTGAATGAGTTTTGCGGGTGAGACCTTGAGACCTGAATAGTGGGTTGATATGTTGGTGCCGTTGCTGTTTTTCTGCCTCAGCTGTTGATTTGGATTGGTCCTGCGTATACAAGCTCCGTAGTCTTTGGCAATAATCCACATGTGGTGGCTACAAACTTCTGCTAGAGGTCGTCTGATGCTGGAGGAAAATGCTGAGTGGATTTTTTGTTCCGTCTAATCATGAACAGCTGGTGTTGTCATACCCGTGACGCGCATCTACTTCAACCGGTCGGGAAACATTGCGGATGGCCCTTTGTATGCAGGCCATCGCTCTTGATTCGTTGTCGACTCCATCATGCATAGGGAGAGAACATGTCAGAGGACTACGATTGGTGGGCCGCCGATCAGCCGTCAACGTCATGTAGCAGTGCTTATGAACGGACATGCGTTTGCCGGTAGAAACGCTTGATATTCGAGATGATTGCTCTGACGCCCGAGTTTGCCCGGCAGAAGATCATTGTTGGGCGATTGCGAGCAAGTACGGGTGTTCACCAGCTCACAGTACCATTGAATGCCATTTCCTGCAGACTGTGAATGCTGAGTACGCGATAGCCAAGTGCTTGCGAGACAAGCAGAGGGTTATCTACACTAGTCCTATCAAGGCCCTGTCCAACCAGAAGTTCCGAGACCTACAGGTGAGGGGGTGGCTGAAGGATTCATTCATGGTGGTCTTTCAAGAGTGATTTACTCGCCGATCATATGTTGCTCAACTTGTCACGTATGGTTGTGAGGAACGACCTGCAGTCTCTTCGGCCATTTCTGACCCAACAAACTTGGTGCGTCTCAGGAGGAGTTCCGATCATATGTTGCTCAACTTGTCACGTATGGTTGTGAGGAACGACCTGCAGTCTCTTCGGCCATTTCTGACCCAACAAACTTGGTGCGTCTCAGGAGGAGTTCCGATCATATGTTGCTCAACTTGTCACGTATGGTTGTGAGGAACGACCTGCAGTCTCTTCGGCCATTTCTGACCCAACAAACTTGGTGCGTCTCAGGAGGAGTTTGGCGACGTTGGGTTGATGACGGGCGATATCACCATCAACCCTAGCGCCACTTGCCTCATCATGACCACGGAAATCTTACGCTCTATGCTCTACCGAGGGAGCGAGGTGATGCGTGAGGTGGCGTGGGTCATCTACGACGAGATCCACTACATGAGGTGAACACCATACATTCGGAGTACACAGCACATGGCCTGTAACTGTCTTACGGATTAGCAACCAAGAGATGGCGATACTCCAATCCCCGATCCTTGTTGGTCACTAACAGAGGGTCCATACGCGTCGTGTTTTTTGCTAGGCCTGTCTGCCCGCGGACAAGCATGTATTGCTCTTTTTTTGTTGGCAATGGCAACCGCTAAGCAGCCCACGTCCCACACTCTTCCTGGGCCGCACAGAGACAAGAACCGGGGCGTGGTATGGGAAGAAAGCATCATACTGCTGCCGCACAAGGTGCGCTTCGTCTTCCTTTCCGCGACCATACCCAATTCGAAGGAGTTTTGCGGATGGATCGCGAAGACACACCACCAGCCATGCCATGTGGTGTACACCGATTACAGGTGAAGTGTGAAGTTGCATTCTCAATGGGTGTAGCACAATCACTTTAAACTCGAGAGCGTTTTGGTCGTTTTTCGTGGGTCCAATAGCACATTCATTCATGCATAGTGCGGTTTCAAGGCACCTTCGGAAACCGGACGTGCGTGAGAGACATTTTGCTGACCCTTATTCGCGGATTTGACATTGTCTCTCAAACACATCAGGCCTGTGCCTCTTGAGCATTACATTTTCCCATTCGGTGGAGAAGGACTGCACTTGGTGGTGGACAACAAGGGGCGCTTCAGGGAAAACAACTTTCAGGTGACCCAAGCCGCATGACATCCTTTGGGCGCGTTGGAGTGTAATCTGCTTACGGCGAGTCTTTGCTCCGCTGGATATGCCTATATCAACTGGCGACAAGGATTGAGCACGAAGCACACTCTGGCGTTTTGGTGTTGTCATGTTTCAGAAAGCAATGGCGAAGCTTGAAGCAACTCCGGAAGAGCAGGCAGTCGCGGAAGGGAAGAAAATCTTTGGGGCCAAGAAGCAGACGAAAAAACATGGAGAAGGAAGCGATTTGTACAAGATCGTAAGGCTGGTAATGGATCGCAGCCTGGATCCGGCGATCGTCTTCAGCTTTGCCAAAAAGTGAGTTGGTTTGTTGTGGTTGGGTGGCATGATTTGGTGGGAATTGCGCGGCTCTTTGTTCATGCGGTGCTTTTTCCGTGACACTTATCATTCAAGGACTTTGTTTGTTGAACTGGATGCGGCCGTACGTGGCTTGGGCAACTCTTTTCGCAAATATTTACTGGAAGTTTGTTTGGATGGCGGGTGGAGTAACTCCCTGGCCCGGGGTCACGTCGTACACGACACGTTTAACAGTTTATCAACATTGTCCGGATGCTGGTAGGGAGTGCGAGGGAAACGCGCTCCAGATGTCCAAGCTCGACTTTAACGACGACAGTGAGAAACTCCTCGTGGAACAAGTGTTTGGAAATGCGATGGAATCCCTGGCAGATGAAGACCGACAACTCCCTCAGGTACGAACGAGAAACATCCGACAAGATTCGCGATGAGTTCATATGAGTTCACGGACAACATCCAACTTGGTGTGATTGACAAAATGAGGATTGCGGAGTGGCGATCAAGTGTTCGCTAGATGAACGACCCCAACCCGTCTTGGCCACAAAGTTTTCCTGGCAAAAGTTGTATAAATGGTTTTCGTCCAGGTCCAATCCCCTTCAAATATCGTGCACCCACAATGCAGGTCGAGGCCATCCTGCCTTTGCTCAAACGAGGGGTGGGCATTCACCATGGTGGCCTCCTGCCCATCTTGAAGGAGGTCATCGAAATACTTTTCCAGGTTGGTCGGCGTTGATTTACGGCACGAACACCTTTTTCTGCGAGTCCATGGAGGTGTGTAGATGTTCCGCGATCGTGATACCCTGGTGCTCAGTCTCAATGATATGAAGCGTTGCGTGGATATCATGCCACGTTGCTTGATGGTGCGTGACCGTGCGCCGCACTCTGTAGAACACTGCAATAGCAAGGCAGCACCCAAAGCCTGATGCATTTTGACAAGCTGTCGTCTTTTTTGTTGTTGCTCGTTGCAACGTTCCTTCCCGTCCTTGTCACTCTCATCAGGAGGGCCTCATCAAGATCCTTTTCGCGACCGAAACTTTTTCCATTGGTCTCAACATGCCTGCCCGGACAGTGGTGTTCACCAACACTAGGAAGTTCGATGGACAAGACTTCAGGTGACGTGTGGCTGTCGAGCCCCCCCATCCGATTGACTTATACACGAAGCATCAGAAGCCACCATCTTAGTGGAGCGCTTATTGTCGTGGTCGCACATCGTTCCTGCCTCGGTCGAAATATTTTCGACTGGGCAAGGCTTCTCGACAGGAGTTTTGTAACTCGCTGCGATGGGATCATCATGGACTATTAGCTGTCTTAGCTGGCTCGGAGTCGTTTCGTATGGGACTCAGTAAAGTTCACTCTCATCGAGTTCATGGTGAGAAATAATATTCATACAAGAAGGGCGTAGCAACTCATAGGCCTACCGCACATCCTGAGACTTGTGCACGTAGCGCATCCTACCCTGTCCGTGGAATAAATAGATAAATAGGTCCTGCCTCTCACGGTTGTAGCGCTTGTTTTTCCTCCTCTCCGTCTTTCCCGAAGGTGGATCACCTCAGGAGAGTACATCCAGATGAGCGGTCGGGCAGGAAGGCGAGGAAAGGACGACAGAGGAATCGTTATCCAAATGCTAGACGAGAAGATGGACCCCCAGGTGGCAAAGGGTGAGTGGTACTAGCACAAAACTAGCAGGTAGCAAGCGCAGGTCAGGAAGGTGCAGGACTTCCAAAAGCTGTCATGTCGAAGACGACGATTTGGGTACAACTGGTGAGGACAAGCTGGGCTGCTGTTGTTTTTGTACATTCGATATTAGAGCAATCTACTCCATTGCCGGTTGATTCATTAATCTGAGGTATCATTGCCGGCCTTCTCTCTTGTCACAGGAATGCTCTACGGGGAGGCAGATGCCTTGAACAGCTCCTACCACATCAGCTACAACATGCTGTTGAACATGCTGCGAGTGGAAGACGCTGATCCCGATTTCTTGGTGAAGAGCTCGTTTAACCAATTCCAACAGGAGGCAACGGCGCCAGCCTTAGAGGTTTGGCCCACATTTTTTACCCAGTTGCCGCGCATAGAACCATTTTGACAGGTGGTAGGTTACAAGTAGAAGGGTGGTAGATCCTGGGCATGTTTCTGGGATATAACACAAAAATTCACAAAGAACCCCATTTATGGTAACCCTCGGGTAAGCACTATTTTTTTGAATGCGACGAATTCGCTGATGAACATTGGGATCCTTTTGTTGGCAGGAGAAGGCAAGCGATCTAGACAGCGAGAAGAACGTGCTCGCGGCTGGGCTAAACGACGAAGAACGTACGTCAGAGTACTTCCTCGTACGTCAGCAGCTCGAGCGGACTCGGGCGGAAGTGTGCCGCGTGATTCAACGCCCAGAGAACTGTCTCCCCTATATACAGGTAATGATACACGGCAAGCGCCTGAAAAAATGCTGGGTGGCTTGCTCTCCTAGTCGTGTCCTTGCTCTTATTGCGTGTACGTGCGTGTTCATGGGTCCTAAACAATATGCCGGCATCGACAAACGTCCTGACCAGCGTTCTGTGTTTGTTGAGCTATCCCACTTTACGACGTGACGGTACCGAACGCTGTCCACCTTGATGGCCACCCAACAACCGCAGGCAGGACGGTTAGTACGCATACGAGGATGGCCTGCTAGGCATGGAGACCAAGACAACAAACCAGACGGAAGAGCGGCAAACGGGCACCAGGTGGAGCTCTTGCCTGATAACCAGCCGGACTGGGGATGGGGAGCCACTGTGGACTTGAACAAGAAGGCCTCCAGCAAGGCCGGCGATCCAGCCAAGTATGAAGTTGGGGTGCTGGTGAAGTGCAAGCCGGAAGAGAGCGCGCGTAGAGGAGGGCAACATATCTATCCTCCCACTCCCATGGTGAGTGTCTCACGGGTTACATGATTTTGCCTCCTCAACCGTTGGTTGTGCGCGTGGAAAAGTACCTGAGATGACCGAATGCCTCAAATTGAAGTACGACGAGGTTTCATCCGTCGAGGCGGTTCCAGGCACAGGTAGAGTATGTACCCCGCGGCGCCTTTTTGCGCCCAAAGCGTACGTTAGGAATGTTCGTAAATTGTGCTGTTTTGAACTACATATGATCATCGAGTTGGCCCACCTGCCTCGACTCGGAGTCCCAATCAGTATCAGTCTCTTGTTGATGTGAGGTTGTTCTTATCAAGTGTTATGCAAAACGATGGCATCGGCCATTCATCCGACTGCTTGTCGATCGGTTGCCTTGATTTCATAGGAGGACGGCGAGATGCGAGTCGTGCACTTCACTCTTGACTCCATAGCGGAGCTGAGCTCGATAAGGCTGATGATGCCGAATGACTTGCGAGCGGCGGAGGCGCGGGCAGCAGTGGCGGAGAACATGAAGGAAGCGTTTCGCAGGTGTGCGCCAGTACGCCTATGTATGTATTTGTTGTTCAAATGAGAGCATGAGAACTCTATTAATTGTCGGCATTGGAGAGAGTTCGTTCGGCACCGAGATACCACAGCAATCGAACAAGTGCCGTGGTGGAGCCGCAACTTTGACACGCTTCCTGACTAAGACAGGCTCGAAGGCAAGGTGCCGAAGCTGGAACCAATCGCTGACATGAGGATACAAGACTCCTCCCTGGAGAAACTGCTGGCACGAGAGACACAGCTGCAGCGTCGCCTGGAAGGCTTGCCGTTTCACAACGACAAGGATCGAGAGGAGCAGCTGCAGAGGTAGTGCACGCATGTCCAATGTCCTCCGAACGTGACAGTGGGTGTAACACGTGAATGTTCTCATTCGTAAATAAACTGACCACCATCTTACCAGTGGCACTTGTAGGCGCTGGTCGCACGGTTGTTTTCTGCACTTCGAGACTTCGGTCAGTGTTTTCGTGTTCGATATTGCGTGCTTCGATGGAATTCTGTAGCGCTAATGTTGCAACCCTTCCCCATCATGAGGAGAGACGACAGGTTGATGGGCGTCTGTATATTCTCCCTGATTCCAGGTACACCGCGGTGCAGCACCTCGCTGACAAGGCCAAGCTTCTTCGGAAGGAGGCAAAAGGTGTGCAACACATGGTGATGAAAGACGAGGTACGTTTTGTAATTTTTTTCATCGAGATGCTGGAAACAGGAGCAACAGTGTTGGCGATCGGCAAGGAGATCTCAAGCACCGCAGTGTTTGGGCTTTCTACTTGTCTCTCAAGACGGAGCGCAACCTTGTGCCAAAAAGCACAGGGCACGCAGGCTCGTGGACCTTGTTCTTCCCCAAGGTTTCTTCGCTCCGTTGTCGACTGGTATTTGCCATCTGTCAGCCGCATTATTGTTTGATACGCAAGGCTCAGCCTCGGCCACTACTAGTTTCCGCGGCCGAGCACTCGTGTAGTGAGTGATGCTGCCATGGACTTATGTAGGTTTGCTGCGAGGCTTGTCACATGATCTGTTTACATGCTGACTTCCACGCTACAGTAGTCTTTTAGTGTCCGGACCTATCTTGCTTTCAACAGGTCCACAGACATCTCTTGTTTTCAACAATCCCACCTTGCTTCAACGTAGCAGAACGCCCCACCAGTACCTCAATAGTCTGGGTGCATGCCGATGTTTGTGCAGAAGATGTGGTAAGTTGTTGCATCGAAAGCGTGTTGTTGTGTTCCATGGGCTACGGTACTGCCGTGTTGTCGTTGCCTTTGTTTACGCCGACTTTCGTGTTCAGATGCGGCGGAGGAAGCGAGTACTCCGTCGACTTGGCCACTGCGATTCGGACGGTGTTATCCAGCTGAAGGGACGCGTTGCCTGCGAAATCAACACGTGCGACGAACTGGTGGTAACCGAACTTATCTTCAGTGGAGCATTCACCGAGCTATCTCCCGAACAGAGTGCTGCTCTCCTCAGTTGCATGGTTCACCAGGTGAGCTCCTTTGAATGGTGTACTTAACTGTAGGTGGTATTCTTGAAACGACGCTGCTGCTCGTTGGTTTCCCAGTACATCGCCGCGCGCCACGCACACCGTGCTTTCACCTGCAAAGTTCATAATGCGGCAATATCCTTTCAAGAATCACGAGGTAGGTGATTCCCTGAGACGACCATGCTCTCATTGATAGATACTTGCCCGCCGACCTGCTTTTTTTTCAGGCCAAGACTGACGAGACTGCACCATCACTGCCGGCAGAACTACAGGGTCCCTTCAGGCAACTTCAGGACGCCGCCAGGTGAGACAACATACATGTTGTCTTGTCCAACAAACACGTCTTGTGGAGAGCAGATTCGTTGTTTCAGCCCCAAGGCCAGTAATGAGAAAGGTTTCAGGCAAAGCGTGTGGACGACAATGCCCTGTCCACCTACCTGCCCGTACAAATCCCCTGTGCTGCGGCAAAATTACCTCAGCGCGACATTCCCCGCCATTTTTTTTGCATCATACTGTAAAGCGGAAAGTCTCGCCTTGAGTTATCCTCAGAACTGAGCGAGACGGTACACCATGCAACAAGCACTTGATTGCAATTATAGTAATGCCGTGCTTGGGCGGGTCGGCCTACTCGATGAACGACCTTTTCGATTTTGTGAGCTAGGTAGGCTAGCAGCGACGGACACACGAAAAGGCCACCTTACGCGAGGCTATCACCGTCGCTGTTGTTCAAGCGGAACAGCGCGACACAAAGGAGGTGGAGGAGGGACTGATTAGGACGAGAGTTGCAGCAGTGCCTTAAGGCTTGGCAGACACGAAAATGCTTCTGGGTTTGGCCAACCCGCTTGATTGGGGGCGGTTCTAAATCTGTTTGTTGGGGCGGCATTGATGCTATCGGACATATAGCCAAGACGATAGCGACAGCAACCCTCTCACATACTCCATATCCAGAGTGCATGTACGTTTGAAATGAGGTTCAAAATGGGTTACATCTGCTTCCCGCCACACCGCGAACATTGTGGAAAGAGGAAAAGGGCAAGGGCATGTGCGTGGCGGAATGAATGGAAACCGCTGAATGCCGCTGCATTTAGCATCTTGTCCAAGCGCGAGATACAGACATGTTACCAGCGGGTACCTCCACAGGCGATTCTGAGCAGGTGTGCCGCTAGCCCTTGTCACACGGGTTATCGGGAGCTACTTACGTTGTCGGTTCGTCGCTCTTCTTGGACTGCATCACGGGAGTCAGTCTTGTAGGTGGCTGCATCATGGACTTGAGTTCGCCGCAGCGAACAAAGAGAACACAGGACATTTTGTCTCGAACACGATAGAATGACACAGGCAAGGCTGACAATTTTGAGCAGATTTGCCGCTAGCCCTTACCGCACCCTTTCTTGGCAGCGCGATCTGCTTCCCTCGTGCTGTAGCGTTGGGCTCAAAATCCGTGCGCCATGTGCTGTGGAAATCGAAAGGAAGGAGATTATTTGGCTTTACAAGAAGAGGCGATCAAGAGAAGCGATCTCCTCGCAAGTAGAATTAGTCCTTGGAACCAAACCTCCACGCTTGCAGCAGCTATGCTCCTGTCCACCCCGCCCCAAAATGGTGCAGCGGTTGAGAATATGTTGGTGTCGTAGCAATCGTTGCGTTTATTTCGCTCGATAGAATCTCTGTGTCGATCTAAGCCATTCATTCCCATGAAATCACCCTTCCGGGGACCACACGACAGCTTTTTGCCGTTTGAGAGCTCCAAAGCTTCATTATCGATGTAGCTGTGCACTATTCCAGCGGAACCCCGCCTGCACGGAACCGGGGCCCAGAATTTTTCCCCATACCGTCAGGCATCGAAGCTTCGTTATGTAGATATTGGGGTCCGTTGGTGACGGCAACACAAAAGGCATTATTCGTCCCAGTGTTGGGGCTACGCAAGGCTCCTCGCCGTCCCCTTTGTCCCCGGGGCTCCGCGACGGTGTTTTTTGCCCCAACCATACATAAATTGTCGCAGGTCAAACTGCTAGATACGTGAAAAAATCCCGGGCGGTGCCCCCGCCGGCTGCTGTAAAATCCCAATTGTCTCCTCTGGCGCTTAACCCCAGGAGACACAAACCTCTACATCTTTGGAAAAATCATAGATACCAGCTTGAGCAACGCCGTCGATGACAGATGTGCCGCTTATCAGTTTAGGCCTTGTAGCGCGAGATTGAGGTGCTTGAAGTTTTACGATTTGAGGGCAATCTTCCCGCCGAGATTTTTGGTGAAACAGCGCAGCAAAGTGTGCTCCGTTGCCGACAGCTACAGCACGCCACAAGCAACCACACCGCTCGAAACTACCAGAGCCTACCGATATGGTGTGTGAGTGGCGTCGCACGACTTGAAAGCAGCAGCAGACAACCAGAAGCGATTCTGCACGTGTGTATTCCCGATCAACAAACGGATTGAACGCGAATGTAGCTGGTTTACCGGGTGTTCTCAAGCTAAACGCTATGAGAAAGATATTTTGCGTTTTTGGTTGGTCCCCCCAGTAGAAACCTGCTTTTATGCACATCCCTAACTCTAAATTCAAGTAGTTTGTTTTGGGTTCTGCGAAACGCCATCCATCTTTTACAACGCTTTTAGTTTTTTAGGAACCTCTACGTATCCTCAAGCCGCTTTGGAAAGGCTGAGGGATGCTCCACCCCGTTGCCGAATAGCTTGACATTCACTACGTGTCAGTCGCAAGGATTTGACGTTTCTCTGTACGTTGTGTTTGCGGCCATAAATTGTGACATGCACTGGATACAAATGTAGCTGTTTATTGTGTTCGTGCAACTATCCCACTCCCAATGGTTCCTGATAACCGCTGTCATCGTAATTGGACTTGCTCCCTTGGGCAGGACGCGTCAATTGCATACTAGTGCAGCCTGTGTACTTTTTCGTGCTTGTGTCGCGCCCCCGTCAGATTTTCTCCCTTGTGATTATTTTCCGAAAGGCATATAGCAGGCGTGTCCGAAGAAGCAAAGATCGCCATCGAGACTGAGGAATACGTCAACTCGTTCACGGCTTCAATGATGGAGGCGACATTCGCGTGGAGTAACGGTGCAAGTTTCAGTGAGGTATGCGCATGTGCATGCATGCGCACCCGTGACATGACTTGTGGACCACTCTTGCAACCGGCTGTAGGGTCCTGCGTGATTCGATAGGCTCCACCGCATGTGACTGGAAATCGGTGTCGTCGCAGGCACAGGAATGACACCGATTTTCACATACGATGCAGGTGATTGAGCGGGCAGATGATTTTGAAGGGTCAATCATTCGGGTGTTCAGGCGCCTCGAAGAACTTCTTCGACAATTGTCACAGGTGAAAAACAATTAATAGGCCACATGCCGCCACGAGGAAATTTCGACTGCATCAAACCCCACACAGCAGCCGATCACCAATGGCGCAAACAACACGTGCTGGACGTCTCCGTTGTAGAGAGCTGCTTTGAAAGTGTAGTCAGTAGTGTAGAAACCACGCAATGGTCCAACGGCAATAGCGGCGTCAGTCGCGTTGAAAACCGTCTTGTTGGCTGCGTCCCTTATCTTCGGCCTGCTGCTGCTCAGTCTCTTCACTCGCGATACAGTAGAGTGGTCATGTCAGGTGTATATTTCTCGGAACTGGCCCTCCTCTGCGAAGGTCTTTATGAGAAGACTACACGCAAGTCACTGTTAGAGCCACATGGAATTGGGTCTACCACACTTTTACAGTTTTCCCAAACGACCCATGGGACTCCCATGGGTCAGTGTGGGCATGGCTTCTCTCAAATATGGGGAAGGCCTCGGGTAGTTTGGCTTCGGTTGAAGCCAATACGCTTGAGGATCCTGAGATTAACAGTCGAGATAAACGGTCGCATTTTAGACCGCTCTTCTCGATACAGGAACAAGCCACGCGCAGAGCAATCGAAATGTCGGCACGAAGTAACCAATGTAATTTATAATCAACATTTTGTTGTCGCTCATCTTTTCAGGCGTCCGCAGCGATTGGCAACATGGAGCTCAAGACCAAGTTTGAGCAAGCGGCCAACAAAATCCGGAGAGGGATCGTGTTTGCAGCTTCACTCTACCTTTGAACCTGCTGAATCTGCAGCAGCAGCTGCTCACCCAACAATTGCTGCAGGCACGCGGCCCAGTTACAGCCATCCGGATTGAGCGACCGTGATTTGCATAGAGTTTGCCGGGGGATAGGGGTTTTGCCCCTACGCCAACAAGAAAGGCCCAAATGAGTGGTTACTTCGTTCGGAGGCGACGGTTATATGCGGTTTCGTAACATGAGGTCATTGAATCCTGTCAAGGGACTGCAGAGATGGTCCCATTTGGCTCATATGGATAAAATCCTAGCCCGAGTCCCTGCTCGTTTGCAAGCACAAGCACGTCAGCAAACAGCAGTGCTGATGTCCGAACTGCCATCACCGGACGTTCACGTCCACGGCTGGTGAAATACGCCCTTGTACACCGCACGGCACAAAATTTTGGAACTCGATGAACTACAAAAACCTCAGAGGGAATCGTTTCACCTACACCCCCTCCCCCCCCCTCTCGATGCTTGAAGCAGGCCGACGAGAACACGTTTCCATTCGTTCGAGGGGGTCAAATCGTCTGCTTTATCCCCCACCCCCACCATGCAATGGTTCCTGGTGATACACACCCTTTATCACTGCACGGTACAAGATTTCTAAACTCGACGAACTAACCTCAGAGGGAGTCGTTTCGCATATCTCCCCCCCCCCCCTCGATTATTTCAACAGGCCGACGATAACACGTTCCCATTCGTTCGAGGGGTCAACTCGTCTACACCCCCGCTCACCACCCCCCACCCCCACCATGCAACGGTGCGCGAATGTGAAGAGCGATTTGACTCGGACATCTGCTACCTTTTTCCTCTTAACCCTCGGCGAGAGTAGCTGGTTGTCCTGAACTCTTGGTCTAGTTCGAAGTACTTGGTCACGCCACGCTGTCGCGGAAGGAAAGCACAAACATTGCGGTTATGCGGTGATGGACACAGCAGTGGCAATGCCGTTGTGGGGACAGAACCTGGATACAGTGAATTCCGCGATTCCGCGACAAACTCTAACGTCCTGCGGTTGTAGAGAACAGACAGTACTACCTACTCATGGAATTTTTGTCGAGCGACCTGCCGGCAGGGTATACATTCGCCAAAGAGTAGGTAGTGCGTGTGCATCACGCCCGCTGCTTACCTCATCCATTCGAGCCCGAATGACCCTTCCATCCGAAGCAAATGTCGGCAGCCTGCAAACTTCCCTGATGGACAAAAAATTGAACGAGGCGACGTTTTCACCAAAGTTCAGTACCATAGAAGCAGCGAGAGACAGCAGTGCATGTCGCACCCGTCAAAAACAAGGAACCGGGCCCACCTTCCGGATGCAAAGAGTGCCAGAGTTGGAAGTTGCTTGCTCGTTCCGGCCGTGTTGATGTTGAGGTCTTCAGCCGTCTCGGGATGAGCCACGACATCCACAACTGCAAACCGCCGATTCTTGTCCGCATATCTGACCACATAAAAACAATAGCATATGCCAGAGTCGACATTCACTCCGTCCTGCAACATCATGTTCATAGCTTTGCCTCGCGTTCAATTTTCTGGCGGGCAAGCAGCATACTCCCATTGTTCATATATTAACAACCTCCAGCCCTTTTCACCTAGAGTCCCTTTACCGAAAGAATCGGAGAAATCGTGCCACCATGCCAACTCTCCCATCTGTGCGACACTGACTAACGTTTACAACGAATAATAGTTGATGGCGGGTGCGCACCGTTGGCCGGGGCAAGGGACAAGACCCACGGCAGCAACGGTTGGCCCGTGCTGAAGCGTTGCGACAAAGTGTACCTGTGAGTCTGCCGGAGTAACCAGAGGGTGTGCCGGGGTCAGAAAATAAGACAAAACGCACCCTCGTGTCATCTCTCTGATCCCCGTGCGAAAACGCAATCGACTCACGTAAATTCGGGTGGCAACGAAAATTCTACATTGCAGCACATTTCCGTAAAAAATACGCCCTCAAGCGCTTGATAACGATGTTAGTTGCGCAACACAGATCCGTACCCAAAAAGAGGAAGTCCTTAAACGCTATACCCTCGTCGAGTCCACTCATCGCGATGGTGCACCGAAACCAAAATATCATGAAACGAAAGCCACATCGCACGCACCTCCTTGCAAGTGCACCGAACATTGGCTGCAGGTTGCGGCTCGAGCTGCACCAGTCCGCGTGGAACATAACCAACCAAGCAACTCGATCGCCGGGTGCTTGTGCTGACGATGATCTCACCATGGACTGGAACTCTCCCGGGTTAAGAGTTGAAACTTCTGAGGGCAACACAAAACGGGGGTACGGCACCACCAGCGAACAAGCTGGGAGGCGCGGGGTTCGCGTTGGGAGCTAGCTGCCAACTAGAAGTCATTAACCACAGTACAGCACCGTTTGGTGGAAGAAACGGACCATATATACGACGCAACGAGCGTTCATCCATGGACAAAACAACAAACAGATACTGGTCGATACCGCAAATTGCACATGCCTTCGAGAGCGTAACGGGATGGACAGGGAGCATACCTGTCCATAGGATGAGGTACCACACCATGTGGGGGATGCCCACGAAAAACAGGAGGACTGCCACAGCAGCCTTTCCGATGACGAAAAACCGTGCGAGAAATTCGTCGAACGTCGCCATCTTGCGGTACTTGGAGACCAGAGTAGCTGTGGCTAGACCGATAACCTCCATTTCCTGCGCACGTGATTGCAATTGATTCTCAACACAAGACACAGCATGTCTTGTTACCATCATAACATCAGAATAGATTAGATCAGCGTGTGCTGTCCAGATTGTCTATAGGTGAAAAGCAGGCCCGCAGCAAATGACTCACTGCCGTTCATACCTATAACTGCAAACCTTCAACGAATGCCATGCTTTCCACACCTGGAAGAATAATTGACGTACACCGAGCAACAATCCGTCCTACCCCAGCCACCTTATCACTTGGGGGGCTAACATACTCCCTGCCTATGACGCGTCACCAACTAATACATACAAGAACTGGATGGTCAAAAACAGGTTTGTGCTCACCTGTGAAAAACCAGTCCAAGTCGCCTGCGAGGTAAGCCGAGGCGCAGACATGTACCACCGTACTATGCCATAGCTCAGCACCAGCTACAACGGAATGGAGAAGCGCGCGTAGTGATGGAATTAAGAATATGCACCGACGGCATGCCATCCATATGTATTGACGTGACTCGCACCGCTTACTCATTGAGCGGCTTCCCCATCAAATCTCATACCATGGCATCTCGTTTGATCAGAACGTTTGACAACAAAAAGGCCGGTGAACAGCCGAGGGTGGGTTCAAATCCCAAAGCAGCACCAGCAACGTGTGAGATCCCGCACAGCGTTCACAAGCCGAAGACCCTCCTGAAAATCAGATTCTATACATGTAATATTGGGCTCACCAGCCGGAGTTGTTCAGATCTCGTCGTCAGTGATCCGGGAAACGCCAGTCTAAAACGTTTCCCAAGGTCTAGCTTCTTTACGAATCTACCATCGTATTAAAAGTATCTCCCGCTCGTGTGTGAGTAGATAGGATTGCAAAGCATTACCTCGTTCGCCCGAGCAAGCCTATCCGCAAGGCCCATGCGCCACTGTTCTACCCAATCTCTGGCGGTGGAAAGACAGATGCGATTTTCGAAACGAGCCTTTCGTATCGAGTAAGCTACGAGCTAAACTAGAATGCTACAGCTGAAGCAGTCCGATTTTGAAGACGTCTACCAGCTAACCAGGACGCCGAATCTTGCGCATGACCCCCTCTGACCCTGATCGGATTTCTCACAGACAACAGAGACGACAACCGTTGCCAACAATGACAACCAGTTTCAATGTGTTACAAGTCCAATATTAGCAGGCCGAAACATGTATCAAAAACGACCTTCCGGCGTGTGGAGTCCTGACCTAGAACATATTCCAGTTGAGGACATCATGGGGCAGCGGCATGGCATGGCACGCCAATCTGTTGCTACTGGGGTCGTGCTGTCGAAGGCTGCGGCTGCTGTCCGAAAAGTTCGCAAAAAAATCTGTTGTCTACTTGAATACCGATCACAATCCACTGCTGTACGCGCCGTCATAGATCCAATCCCCCGAATTGCTGGTCTACAGCAGTAGCTTACACCACTAGCTGCATTGCACGGCCCGCAGTTCGGGGGATTGGTCTGTGACCATACGTACAGCAGCGGATCGTGAATTGGTGCGACCACCCAGATTTGCGGAATTTTCGGACCGGAGCTGCAGCCTTCGACAGCACGCCCCCAGCAACACATCTGGGTGTTCCAACGGGCATGTCCTTGCTCCATGATGTCCTAACTAGAATATATGCCCGGGTCGGGACTCCACAACGCAATGACCTTGTTTGGACCTTGTTTGCACGCCTACCACTAGGCTCTTGTCTTATGCACAGCTACTGCTGCTGTAGACTACTGCTGTAGGCATAGAATACAGTCGAACCTCGCTTAAGTTAACACATGGTTTTGCCGAAAAAAAGTTAACTTATGGCGGGGAAGTTAACTTAAAATTCAGGGGACCACAACTCACCATCCCCGGGGCCAATAGAGGCGGTGAATACCTCAATAGACGCGCATTGGGCTCCACTACGTGTTTGACGAGAGAGGAGACTGAAAAAAGTGAGAGGGAGCATATTTTTATGTCCATTTTACTAAACAACACTATAACCAAGATGCTATGTTGGAACGCTTGAACCCACGCACACATTTCTCGTCGATCGCAATGTACAGCCACTCCTGTGTAGTAGTCTCATGCGGTCCCACGCATTCAAGACATACATAGGCCACCCCAAACACAGCTCTGGTCGTTTGTACCGCACACTCTACGACCTCCACATGTCGCGCAGAGTTGCCTGCAGCTCCCCCCCCTCCTTGGCTCGCCGCTTCACTTGAGTTTCGTGAGTGAACGAATGCACAACTTTCAAGAGCAGGTACTGGGCTCGCGGTGCTCCCCATCCTTTCCGTTCGCGTACAAGTAGGAGCGAACCTCCTCTGGGCTACCGCTTCGGCCTCTGTCATCGAAGATGTTACGCACGACTCTGGTCTACCCCCACCATCTTCATCGTCCGTGGAGTCCGGTACCGTGCATGTAGGCTCCTCGCATCGTTTTTTGCCAGGCGCAGACGATGCACCGCTGGATGGAAGGAATCTCTCCATACCCACAGACAGCAGGTGCAGCAGCAGACCTCTTATTGGCGGTCTACAGAGCAGTGAGAGCACTGCTGCTGCTGCTGGTTTTGAGGGGGTCCGTGGACTGTATTTTTACCNGAAGGCATCGTTGCCTTCTCGAACAAATCGCAGAGGTATTGAGGGGGTCCATGGACTGTTTTTTTACCCCCCCTGTGTGCCCCCCTCCCCCGGTGTTTTACCATCGGGGTTGGGTTTTCGTCGCTTGGCAACGACGTTGTAAAACAAGCC